CCAGCACCATTTGTTGAAGATGCTTTCTTTTTTCCATTGTACAGTTTTGGCTTCTTTGTCAAAAATCAGGTATTCATAGGTGTGTGGATTAATGTCAGAATCTTCAGTTTGATTCCATTGGTCTACATGTAGGTTTTTATGCCAATACCAAGCAGTTTTTATTACTATAGATTTATGGTAGAGCTTGAAGTTAGGGATGGTGATGCCTCCAGAAGTTGCTTTATTGTAAAGGATTGTCTTAGCTATCCTAGGTTTTTTGTTTTTCCATATGAAGTTGAATATTGTTCTTTCCATGTCTGTGAAGAATTGTGTTGGGATTTTGATGAGGATTGCATTGAATCTCTAAATTGCTTTTGGTAAGATTGCCATTTTTATTGTGTTGGTTCTACTTATCCATGAGCATGGGAGATTTTTCCATTTTCTGATATCTTCTTTGATTTCTTGTTCAAGGACTTAAAGTTATTTTCATACAAGTCTTTCACTTGTTTGATTAGAGTTACCCCAAGGTATTTTATATTATTTGCAGATATCTTAAAGTGTGATATTTCTCTCTCAGCCTGTTTATGATTTGTATATAGAAGGGTTACTGATTTTTTTGAGTTATTCTTGCATCTGCCACATGAATCAGTTATCTATCATTTTATCCTATCATTCTATATCCTTTTTTCCTTTAGAAAGAGATTTTTGAATTTAATTTTATTGTTTAGCTTTCTTTTTTACTATGACCAATAACAACCTCTAACAACCCCCACTTAAATGAAAATAAACATCTATAACCCATCTTTTGGGAATGTGGGCATTATTCTCTAGACTACTTTTTTTTCTGGAGGTACTGGCATCTTTGAGGGACCCTAAGAAAACTTAGGATAATGGTCAAAGCTTTGCTGGAGTAGTTTGTTAGACTGGATCATTTCAACCAGAAGCCATGGAGCTGTTCTGGATGTAGAACTTACAAACTGCAACAGAAGCATTCTGAGATGTTGGATCATCTGGGCCATTTGTTTTCATCAGTATCTCCTCCCTTGCTCTGAAAATATATAAACTTTTAAAGGTAACATACAAATATAGACTGTGTGTTGTTCAGACGTTAGCCAAAATGATTTTTTGTTTTATATTTGGGCAGGTAAATTATATGTTATGTGTTTTGTAGTTTTTTTTTTTTGGATTTCTGCAGTCAGGATTTTCAGGGGGGTCTTCCTAGATCAAACCTGATCATATTTAAGTAGGAATGATTCCACAGCCTCTCTTTTCCAGTGGAAATAGTAGTGTAACCTCTCTCCCAAAGCAATATACCTTTGGACTTAAATTTTGAAGTCAAGATATTTTTTGTGCCAATCACTTCACAAGTTCATTAGTTTATCAACAATTGCAACACCCCATTAATAAGTGGGAAGGTAAAATGACCTCATACTTTAGAACTTCAGGCTCTACACTGTGGCTCTTCCCAAGAAATGTTGAACCAACAGGAGGCAGGTTCAGCCCAGCAAGACTCCGCCATCTCAGTGGAAATTACTGCTCACAAATGGCTGGCTCACTTTGCTTTACCTAATATGATATAATACAACTAAGATCATACTTCCAGAAACAGTTCAAACCTTCACACAACCATGAAAAAGTTAACAATTTAATGAAGAGGCTTCCTGTCAAAATTTTGGCAATAAAAAGATTTCAGACCTGAAAACACTATGGTTTAGAAGACCTAAAATTCCTAAACCAGTATTGACCATCAGTTAAACTTGTAAACGAACAGGATTTTGCAAATCTTCATACCCCATAGGCTTAATATAGGAAAGTTACTGTAAATTCACAGCTGCAGTAAACTGATGCTGACTTCCCTGCTTGCTTAAAAGAGATGGCTGAAGATATAGAACACAATTGTCAAGATATTTTTAAAATATATAGATTGGTTTAATCTAGCAGCCTTCATAACCCAGTGTGTCTTATCAGCCAAAAAATTCAAAGACAACACAATAACTTACAGGATATAAACTCTGTGTATTTTCTATCTTTATATGGCTTTTTTCTTTTATACTACTTTATTCCTTTAAGGACTATATTATTTTAAATATCTATCTATCTATCTATCTATCTATCTATCTATCTATCTATCTATCTATCTATCTATCATCTATCTGTCTATCAATGTCTATACCCTCTTTCTTTTCTCTCCCATGCCTTTGTACATTTTTAAACACACTGTAACCCATTTAGAATTTTTTTCCATCTGGATCTGTCTTTCCTGCATATCTGTACATATTTTGTTTTGACTTCATGAGCCTTTAAACTTCTAAACAGCATGGCTAAGACCTCCACCTCTGTTTTGGCTGCTGGCTTTGATATGCTTGGTTCTCTGAGAGCCTAGCTTCATGGCAGAGGTACCAGCAAGGGCTACGTTTGCCACCCCAACTCTGGGGAGCTTTTGGGTCCACATTGTCACCATATAGTGCTCTTGCCCCCTGCTCATGAACCCCAATTAAGTGTTTAGTAGCAGGTCCTCTTAAAGGAAACATGCCTATTTTTGCCTCTAGCACCGAGCCAGGATGCTGTTTCTTAAAGTAGCCATGCCTCTGCTTGCTGCTAGGAAACAGAGCTTACCTGAGAAAAGATGGTTACCAAGAAGCCATGTTTGACTCTGTTTTTGTGTGGTTAGAATCCCTTTTTAAGCTTCACCAGGTCTTATGTGGAAATTCTGGCCCCACATTGGAATGCCTTTTGTAGGTGGACTTTTCCTTCCCACCTGTCAGTTACCAACTAACCAACATGGAGACTCAATATGAATTATGAATCCTCAGTTGATAGCTCAGGCTTGTTACTAACTAGCTCTTACAACTACAATTAACCCATGTATATCAATCTGTATTCTGCCATGTGACATTACATCTCTTTCATCTTGTACCTCCTGTTTTTGGCTGGTGACTCCTTTGACTACACCCTTCTTCCCAGCATTCTCTCTGTCCCCCAAAATCTTGCTTAGCTATTGGCCAATCAGCTTTTTATTAACAATGAGAGCAAGATATTTTCACAATGTACAAAAGTATTATTTCACAGCAGTGCAAAATAAATGACATACAGTCATACTATCACTGGTGAAATCTTACTCACAATGACAAAATATTGCTTGGGCCTCATCCCTGCTAATGAAACAGTCATATTTTTGCTCTTGAGGGCAAGGTTACTGGTCACTACTCCCTCACATTGTTTCTGTCCACTCTGAGAAATGATATTTAATGAAACTCTCCTAATGCAGTCACTCCTAGGCTGAATTATGTCATGATTTCTGTGAGAGTATTCAAGAAACAGAGTTGGGAAAGAGGCTCTGTGAAGGTATTGAGAGGGAGGGTGAGCTCTGAGTGTCATGACTTTCCTGTGGAATCATATTTCTTAGAATTCCTATCTTCTACAATGAAATGAATTCTCATAGCTGCAGCTATGTTGGTAACATTGGAAAACCCTTGGTATATAGCAAATGTCTCCCTAGGTGAAGAAAGTGTTACAGTCATGTGTCATTCCTAGTGTTACAATGGTCCTCACCCCATTGTTATTTAGACCATAAAGGTGATGAGTTGCCAACATTCTTCTATGCAACCATATCTTCTCTGGAATCAGCTCTCTCACCTCTGAGGGAGATGTAGTGTGTTCCTGCTAGTGTTCTGGATCCTTGGGATGAGGGCCAGATTTGCCATAAATAATTGTATTGGGATCATGGGAGGACAAGAAGACATCTTTATTTGTGGGTGATATGTCAGTAGTTTGATTTGGAAAGCGTTAACATGTTTTTCTTCTGTGTAAGACAAGCAAGTAAATGTGGTAGCTTAACACAGAACACATTCATTATGTCATTAACTTTATAGCTCAGGGGATTTGACATATCTGAGTTCATAGTATACCACAGGGATGCTATGAAGTCATTAGATATCATATCTTCTTCACTATGACTGAGAAGGATGTTTCTCAATGGACATCAATTTTTTGTTTGCTGTTGACCATATGCCACATACTCTCAATTTCCATGTTAACACTCATTGACTGTTCCTGTGAGAGTCTCCAAATGTTTGTGTCTTTTATAGTGACCCACTTCTACCCACCAGCCTGTGTCTC